CATTAATTTTCGTATGGGTATATGGTAATTTTTTGTGTTGTGTGGCGGGTGGAAGGGGTTCTTACATTTAATAATGGACAAAAAAAGATTCATTTGACGGAAGTTTGCGGAAGTGGGCCTTAGGGGTTGCCGAAAGCGGGTCCCGTCATGTAAAATTTATTAACAATATTAATGATTCGAGAAGTTAATGGCTGTTTATATTTTTTAAAATATTTACGAAATAGGAACACCTTTTTGCGGAAACGAATTTAGATCTAAGATCTATAGAAAAGGAGGAATATTCTTTAAGAAAAGACTAAAATATCAAAAAACAACTTTGTGTTCTTTAGTTTAATTTAATTAATGTAATATACAAGAATGTCCCACTTCTTTTATAAAAAACTTTCAGAAAATAGTTTCTCAATTAATTGTAAATTTAATTAACTGGATTTTTCTTTGTATTTTCTTTGAATTTTCATTAAAAATCGTATGAACTTTATTTTACGGTCTGTGGAGAGATCTTTTGAGTATCCAAGTTCATTTTTCAGTCGAATATTTTAGAAAATGTTAAAAGATTACCACATTATTAATTCAAATCCTTAGAAATCGAAAAAATTATATAAAATTAAAATAATGCATATTATATTACAAAATAATAAAAAAATTATATAAAATACAAAATCAAATACAAAAAATAAAACAATACAAAAAAATAGTGAATCTAATGAAAAATTAAAAAATGCATAATAAATAATATAAAATAATATAATAAAATATAGTAAAAAAATTAATAAAATAAAATAATAATAAAAAATACATAAGAAATCTAGAGAAAAATTAAAATATTTAAATATATAATAACAAATAAATAATACAACAAATAAAATATTTTTTTTGTTACAATAAAATCTAAAATTATTCTAATATAAAAACACCAGAAAATACCTCTGATCTGCCAAGGTCTCTATTCTCTCTGGAGCACGTTCTAAAATCAATCAAACTCCAAAATCTATATACATTTCCGTAAAGTGTACCCCACACTAATCTGCCTTCTTTTAAGTAAAACCCAAACCGTTTTTTCTACACCCAAGACACCATTTCCTATCCTACTATTTTCCCTTAGCCCCACATAAATAAAATCTACCATTTAATGATTAATCTTTATTTGATTTTTTTATGAGTATCCCCTACTTTTACTTCCCCTTTTTAATTTCCGACTGAATGTCAGATCTTAATCGATTCGGCCATAAACCACATCCACATTGGCATCAAGTAGAGCTCCGCTCTGCCCCGCACAATTACCAAATTGAACCGGTTGCAACGCAGTTTCCACATCCAAAACGAGTCTGTCTGTGCCACCAACTGGGAAATCATAACGATTGTCAGTTTAATGACTTTACAATCGATCTACAAAATGCGTAGACAGTGCGTAGACTTGACTTTGTTTTGCGTTTGCCAATTTCGTGATCGGGAAAAATCGAAAAAAATAACAAACACACACAAAAAAAAAAATACAAGTAAACGTAGGCCAGAACGACATACTCGTACGATGGAAAACCTTGCCCCAAGTCGAAGGCCAAGCCCCAGAGCATATATTATATGACAACTTTTTGACGATTTATGTAATTCTTTTTTTTTTTTTTTTTACAATGTCTGGTATGTTTTTTTGTTGCTTTTTAATATTTTCTTGGCGTTGAGTTTGTAATTTGTAAGCTCGTTCGGACTGGTGGGCGTTTTTCGATTTTTGGGCATAAATTTGTACCGCTTTGCCGGCTTTGACGTGTCTCCCTCTCTCGCCCTCTGGCATGAGTCATTCGGAGTCGGTTTTGAGGTAGCACTGAGCGTGGGAATTTCCTATATAAGTCATCGTTTTAAAGCCCACTAAGAGGTTGGTAGGGGTGTCTCAAAAATGTTATTTTATGGGAATTATAATTATGATATTATGGTATTTATTGTTAGGTTTAAATGAAATGTGAACACGGAACTAGTGGACAGAGAAAAATGTATACAAAAATGTCATGTGGGGCTTTGGTGTAATTGGTTTTAGGAGTATTTTTAGATACTCTGATAGAACTGGTGTCTAGAGTAAAATTCCTTTAATTTTAAGGTAAGATTAAGGTCAGATTAAAGGTTATATCTATAACTTTTGTGAAACCTTTACTGTGGAATAAATATGTGTATGTTTAAGTAAAAGGAAAATTCTCTACAAAGGAGTTTATGTTCCAAAAGATATTATGGTATTCGGAGAACTAAGATTTAGCTTAGAAATATCGTTTTCTGGATTTGAAATTTAGGGGAAACCTGTTAAAATTGAATAAATTTAAATTTAAAAAAATATTCATGAAAGATATTACAATTTTCAAAAGAAAAACGCAATAGTAGAGCTTTCCATTCCCATTAATATCAAGAAAGATATTTTCTTAGTGCATACAAATATTTAGTAATTCTAAAAAATTCTCAAAACACATTAAGGATCTCTCGTTAAGCCATCCAGGAATCAAAGTACAAGTTAGACACATTTTAAGCTTTGATTTATGTAGTATTAAAATTAGTAAATGCTTAAGCTAATTGTTTACAAATATGGGTAATAGGCTGTCCCACGAAGTAGAACCATTCCATAAGGATCGAGTATTCCCATATTCCTGTAATAATAACTCCCATATTCCTTTAACTTATTCCTATTCTATAAACAAATGAACTACCATATATAATTCCATTACTAGTTATAGGGTAATAGTGGATTCTGTGTAGTTTTTTGAAATAAAAAATTCCATATACCTTTTTCTACAATAGCTAATTCTTGCAATCATTTTCTGATATTTGATTCTGTTTATCTCTTTATCTAATAATGCTTGATTCTCCATTTCATTCTCCAATCAATTCATATTCGAAAACGATTCCCATTATAATTCTTCCTCTTGGGTTTTTTTCCATCATTCTTTTATTGACTTTCGAAAATGAATATCGCCGGCTTTTAATTAAAAATACCTCTCCTCTTGTCTACTCTCGTGTGGCACTCGTTGTTGAGCTTTTTAGCTTGGGGATTGTTTATCTCTTATTTCTTTGCATATTTTGTCACTATTTTTTTGTGTTTGCCAGACACTGTGGCAAACGTGAGTAGCAGCAGCCCCACGATCCGGCAAATCCATATATCATTTGAAGTCCGGCTGCCGATGAAGACCCCCCTTTTAACTGCGAAATAAAAGATTAATGATTTATGCATAAATGCTTAAAATGCTTTTAGCCATTAAACACACAAATAATTCTGTGGCAGAGAGTGGGTTTGATTTTGTAAATTTGCATTCTGTTCCTTTTATTGTTTAGCGGCGAAAGGAAACAAAAGTAAAGTTTCAGCATTAGGTTTCTCTTCCATTCACAAAAAGATACGCCCAAAAGTATCCATTAGTCAGATTTATACTTTTATGGCTATATATAAGGCGTCATCTAGAGTTCTAGATCTTGAGAGTAAGGCATGTCTTTTGTACATATGATTAGGTGGATACACTTTATTATAAATTTGGGGTTGCGTTTGTAATGCAGAGATATTAGGGAGAGTTGAGAATCTCCAGAATAAGCCTTAAAGTGCGGCTTAGCGAATCGTTTTTATAGCCAGAATGAAGAAAAAAGGCTTATATTCATAGTTCCATATCCACCTTGCGCTCTATCTCTCTTTCTCTTCCAGTGTGGCTTAGCAGTGATTGTTTTTATAGCCAGAATAAAGTAAAAAAGCTTGCCTTTGATGATTATCTCTCCCTCTAATTCTCTTTCTCTTCCAGTGTGGCTTAGCAGTAATAGTTTTTATAAGCAGAATGAAGTAAAAAAGCTTGGACTCGTGGTTCACTCATTTTCTCTTCCAGTGTGGCTTAGCAGATAGTTTTTTTAGCCACAATGAAGGTTCCATATCCGTCTTACGCTCTATCTCTCTTTCTCTCCCTTTTTCTCTTCCAGTGCAGCTTAGCAGTCATCGTATTTATAGCCAGAATGAAGAAAAAAAGCTTGCCTTTTGGGGTTTCATATGCGCCTTGCGCTCTATCTCTCTCTTTATCAAATTTTTCTCTTCCAACGTGGCTTAGCAGTAATTGTTTTCAAAGCCAGAACGAAGAGGAAAAGTTTCCAGGTATGGTTATATATCCCTCTCGTTCTATCTCTCTGCTTCTCTCCCAGTGTGGCTTAGCTGCTAGTGGAAGAAACGTTTCGAAAAACTCTTTGTAGGAAAACCACACCTTTGTTTCTGAACAAAAACTCAACAGCCTGCGGTTTCATGTCTCTATTTTTTTCACAGCCTAATCGGATATTATACCAAAATCGTTGGACTATATCTGCAAGGGTATCAAATGCTTCTTTGCTCGAACAAACATATACTGTATTTATTTTCGTTGAACCGAATGCGGAATCACTTTTGGGGCTTTGAAGTTGTTTGGCCGCTCGAGAGGTGCGCAAAGTTGTCTATAAATTATGCAAATATTTTTTTATTCATTTATTTAGTAGTCTCTCTTTCAAAAACTTGTTGAGAAACGCGCTCGCAAAATAGCGAATAAAAAAATACAAACAAAAAACTGAATGCAAAACGGGCCAAAAGCGCGTGCGCTGTAAACCGGAAAAATTGTTGACGAATGTTAACAAAATATGCAAACAACAAAAAAGGAGAATTGTATTTTGTTGCAAATTGATTATGCGAATGTTGCAGTTGTTGTTGCACTTTTGAGCCGCCAAGCCGTTCACTTGAGGAGCTCAAAAGCCATTGACAATGAATGTGCGGCATTACGCATACGCCTGGTGGCAGCCAAAACACTTCCGGTGGCAACAGGAAATTATCATTTAGTTGCAGTGTTGCACTGAAGGTTGCACTCACAATTCGAGTGCATTTTGAAGGTGTGTTGCCTTCTAGAGGTTTTTGTTTTGGGTTCTGACTTGATTTCAGGCCCATTTTGTGATTGTCAAGAGGCTGTCGAGGGTGTTCGAGGTGAAGTGGAGGTGTTTTAATGAGAGTCTAACTATGTTTTTTCTTCCCCGTTCCACAGCCATACCCATTGGGAACTATACACCGCCGGATATCGACTACAACGAACGCTTCATGTGGGAGGGAGCCACCGATATGAGCGCCAACTATCGCCATGCCCTGCAGCGGGGCCTGCCCTTTCCCATTCTCACGGTGGCCGAGTATTTTAGCCTGGGACGCGAGGGCTTCTCGTGGGGCGGGCAGTACAGGGCGGCGGGATATTTCGCCAGCATTATGCTGTGGTCATCGCTGGCCTCGTGGCTGCTGATGAACCTCCTGCTGATTGCCGTGCCCCGGTACGGGGCGTACATGAAGGCCCTCACGGGGGCCCTGCTCGTCTGCACCACCGTGGGATATCATTGTCTGTTGCCCAAGCGGCCGTTGTGCATTTATTTGGAGGGCGGACGCCTGGAGTTTCATTTTGGATGGTGCTACTGGTTGGTCCTGGTAGCGGGTGAGTGGAATATCAAGGAATGTCAGAGACCCTTCTGGAGACTCATTGCTGTTGCTCTTTTCAGGGATCCTGTGCTTCATAGCGGGCGTGCTGATCTCCATCATTGACCTGGTGTGGCCGCATACCTTCTCCACGGTGCTGGAGGTGTACTACGGCACTCCCTATGATCGTCATGTCATTCTGGAGGAGTCCAGCGATGTGCGTTACCGCAAGCCGCGCAACAGTCGCAGCCTGGAGGATCCTCCGGGTCTGGGCTCTCGCATACTGCGACGCCTGAGCTCCAAGGCCCGCGACATGCAGCACGTGACGGCGCCGCGGCGCGACAGTCCCGCGGGAGTCTCCAGCAGCGTCGGCGGGGGCGGTGGCAGCGGCGGCGTCGAGAACAAGGGCTTCCAGTCGGATGTGCCCAAGAGTCCATGGCGCTATCCCTTCAGACGAACGCAGCAGATGCCGCCGCCGCATCAGCAGCACCAGCACCAGCATCCGCTGCAGCAGTCGCACTCGCACCAGCACCAGCACCAGCATCACCATCAGCAGCAGCTGCAGTTTGTGGGCGGCCCAGTGGTGCAACATCCTATGCACCACATGCAACGCACCATGTCCCAGGACTCGGGATCGAGCATGGGCTCGGCAGCGGTGCAAATATCGCCGCTGCACAAGCATGCCCTCGCCCGAATGTTGCCGTAAGTCTAGTCTCTCTCTAAAGTCTAATCTCCAACTAATTCTTTGTCGCCTGTTTCCCCGGCAGTAATCCTCCCGTGGAGCGTATACGTGACATGGATCACTGGTGATGCCATTGGACAGACCATTTATTTTTTATAGGGCTTCAACAATTCTTGACTTTAGATCGATACAAAAACAACAACAACAACAACAACAACAACAAAAACTAAACCACTTGATGACAAAAAATGCTACAAAACAATTTGTGATAATTTCTTAATTTAAAAACAAAACAAAACGAAAAAACAAAATCAATTAATTGACAAGATCACATAATTTTAAATCTTAAACAAGAAAAACATTCGCTAAATTTAAACTCTAACTTTAATTAAATTATTTTAAATGTTTAAGTTAAAAAAAAAAAATCAATTTTTAAGAGGCAGATCGCGTTGGTGCAAACAAATTTCCAGGATAAGCACGTTTTTAGTGATGTTCATTTGTGATAGGAGAGAATCCTGCCTCACGCACACACTCGCACACAGATACACCCATACATACATACACGAGGGAAGGGACCGTGAGAACCGTGAGTTATAATAAAAACAAAACAAAAATGATATTCGATATTTAAGTATAATGAATAATTTATTTGATGCTCTCGATTGAATATGAATTCCATGCCAGTGTCTTTAAATATTAAGTCTATAAAGTCTATAAAATGTGTAAACTCTCTTTTAAGTTTATTTTTTAAGAATTGACCATGTTTAAACTTAAAAAATTAATGATATTCGAAACAAATGACGATGATGAAACCGAAGAAATGTTTTTTTTCTATGGCTTTTTGGTATGGGGCTCTTCGAGATAACTATACTCGATGGTGCCTCTTAAGATTTGCAGCCTATATTATAAGGTTTTTTAATATTTGGGAACGTACATATATTTTATTTATTATTTTTTTACTGGAAATATTAGGAAACAGCAATTGGTTTCTTCAGATTATATCCATAGATGTCTGAAGTATTTTTAGTATTGTCAGTATTTTTATAAGGTATGCTTAGTATATAAAATGTATGTGCATATATTTTTGGGTTTGTTTTTTATTAGAAAAATTAAGATACCGGCTTAAACAGAAATTGCATCCTTAAGATAATTATATCCATACCTTTTTTAAGTATTTTAGTATTTTTATAGTACATTTTAGTACAAATTTTGTTTGAAAAAATCTGCTCTCTCTTTGAATTTCCATTTATCCCTGTATATATTTTTTGTTTGCCTTCTGATTTAGGCAGATTTATGGCAACAATAGAATATGTACATTGTACATATATTCGTATTATAGTAAAATGCAGACCCAAAACCCCCTGTAGAACACCTGGTCGCCCCATCAGCCCTTGGAGGAAATAGAGGGAGGAGAAGACGAAGCAAAGAGCAACAAAAACCAGAAAAAAAATGTCATAAATAAGAACGTTTGCAATTTGTTTATATTAAAATTGAGACGAGAGAGAGAGAGAGAGAGAGAGTCAAAAAGCATCCAAAAGTAGAGGGCTGCACAGATTCCCATTGCATTGGGCTCCCCCTTTCCCCCTGCCCCCCTTCATGGGGCTGCAGTATCGCATGGCCTGCTGTTTTTGTGAATTATGCGCCTTCCGTTGCATGCGGCGGCATTGCCAGGCCCAGGACCCAGGACGCAGGATCCAGGACCCTGGGACGGAGTCCAAATAATGGCTTGACGCGCCTGGCTGCATATTTTTGAAGTCAACAGCCAAAAGGGGGTGGAGAGAGACAAAGAGAGAGGGAGAGAGAGGGAGAGAGAGAGAGAGTACACCCACAACTAACGGGGAACGCTCGTTTTTGTAATAAAAATGTCATAAATCTTGATTTCTTGAACTCTAAACCAAAAAGCGTGCGATAGCGACACGGGACACATCTCTCCCTCTCTCTCACTCTCTTTCTCACTCTCTCTCTCTGTGCACACTGTGTGGCCTGGGCAATATAACTGTCTATTTATGCTCGCCTTGCATATGAAGTACAGTTTTATTTGTTTTTATTTATTTGCACTCGTTTGCAGCTCTGCTTTGTCTAGCTCTGTCCTCCTCCCCCACACACTCGCTGTCTCTTTCGCTCACAGAGAGATGCAAGTCCTTGAGAGGGGGGCTGAGATAATTGATTTATTGGCCAGACTTAAGTGAGAAGAAGTTCGTATTAGAATATAAGTAGGGATAGTCCTTGCATCACTAAGTAGAATATAAGTAGAATATAAGATAAAGGTCTCTGAGGAAGGAGTAGTTTGGATAGAATTACGATATATTCTTTGAATATATCGGAGTATGGGGTACCCTCTGAGATTATAGGATATTCTTCGATTCTTTGGAGTTCCTTTGCTGCCAAATAGACTTTTAAGTACTTTGGTGCTTTGAATAATCGTCCCTAATTTCCCTGCCGCTATTTCCCCGCGAAATGCTTGTAGTTTTCACTGAAAACCGTTTGTTTTTCCAACCAATTTCCGTTGCATTCTTTTCCTCGGAGCAGAGCAGAGCAGAGCAGAGCAGAACAGACGTTCCATTAACAATACGCATCAATTTGCATCGATCACATTGGGGGCTAACAATATGTCCAATATGCCAAACAGAAACAATGAGAGAGCGGAAAAACGAGAGCAAAACAACGAACGAACGAACGGATGAACGAACGATTGAACGAATGAATGAATGAATGAATGAATAAAGCGACAAATAAAATAAAATCGAGTTGCATTTCGGAGAAATAAGATAAATTCTCCTGGCAGCTGCGCTAACGAGCGTCTCCAGGGAGGGGTAAGGAGTGAGGAGAGGGGAGAGGGGAGAGAGGAGGTGTGGGGGATAGGGGGGTGGCATAGACTTTTTGTCAAACAAACAACAAAAGTATTTGCTGAGTAATGCCATCGCTTTTATCTTATGGGTTGGGGGGTGGAGTGAGGTGGATGGGGGGTGCCGCTGCATTTCTATTGGGGATGTGCGTGTTTGGTGCGTTTGTATGTGTGTCGTCCATATATCGTTGGTGTTCGTGACAGAAGGGGATTGGGAAAATTAGTTCTTTTGATTGAAGATAGAATTCCCATGTTTTGATTTCAAGGTATTATATTTTAAAAAATTTTTATCATATACTTTTTTAACAAAAATATTAAAAAAAAATATTTTAAAACTATTAGACCCAAATCTAGACCCAAATCTAATACCATTTCTCTTTCTATGTACCTTCAGCACATTTCGTTCGATTTTTAAAGGATCTTGAAGTGATATTTTAAGGGTTCCCAAAGGTACATGTAAAATGGAAGATTGTTAGTGGGATTCTATTCAATTTCTGAATGCAGAAGCAAGGCAGACTGTCTTAGGATTTGTCTAAAGAAAATGTAAACTATAAATCTATACAATTTAGGGATTGGATACCCACTAGATCCATTAGATCCAAAAAATAGGTAAAAAAAATATTGGTTTACAAAAAAAATACTACAATTTTTACAAATTTATTTGAAATATTGAAAGGGGATCAGCAATTTTCATTAAAAAAATGTAATATCAGCTTTCTGCTTGATCGTGAGTGCTTCGTGAACTCGTGATTGCTTCGTGAACTCGTGATTGCTTCGTGAACTCGTGATTGCTACGTGATCTCGTGAGTGTTTCGTGATGTCGTGAGTGCTACGTGCCTTGAAGAAGCCCCCCTCACGCAACCATCCCTAATGCCCCCCCCTCCCCCCTGTTACGCTCTTCATCTCTCACTCTCTCTTTTAGTCCCGAGGAGGACGAGCACTTTTGCCTTTTGCTTAATACAAATGAAAATGGATGAGCTACTAAATGTTGTCACTGTCTGTTCGCTGTTTGTGTTGCTGTTGTTGTTGTTGGATTCGAAATGTTGCATTGCATTGACTGCATGAAAATGGAATGAAAATGTTGCAACAAGCTGAACGAACAGCAAAGTTCTCTCTCCGCACTCTCTCTTCTCCAATACTTCCCGCACTTGCCGCTCCACAGCGAAAGTTCTACTTCTAACGGTGTCTCAGAGAGTGCTATCTCTTTCTGTCGCTGATTATTCGTCTCTTTTTCTGGGTTGCAAAGGAATGCACTTTGTTTCTATGACACTCACTGTGTGTCCCTCTAGCGCTTTTCCCGGTGCGTTCTTCTCCATCCCTTTCCCACGCCCCCCCCCCCCCCCCCCCCCCCCTCCCTTTTCCTTGCCTATCCCTATCCCGCCCTCGCCGCCCCCTTGCCCCCTCCCCATGTTGCGTCTGTTTTGTCTTTGTTTTTATGCCATTTATTTATTTAAGTCAATTTCGTTGAGTGTGTTTGAGCATTTTGTTGCAATTCGTTTTCGGGTTTCATTTTGTCGTTCCTCCCCCTCCCCCCCACAATCGCTAGCTGCCCCCACTATCACTATCACCCCCCGCCCGCGCCCCTCCAGCCATTTTCCGTTGCTGCGAAGGTTGTCATTTGGAATCATGAATTGAATGAGCGAATTGGACTCCAGGAACAGGTTGGAATCCGGATGCGTGCCCACAAGCAAGCCGTTCCCGGGTTCTGGTGGGGTGTAGCTCATTTCTAAGTAGCTGCACTTTTCCTGATGAGTCATACCATTTGGCTCATGTTTGAGTTTGAGCACAGGACAGTGGGGACATTCTTTGTCCATGGCATTCATCAATCAGCAATTTCGGATGAGCAGAATATTCTATATCTGTTTGGCACTCGAATACGAGGCGAAGAAACGAAGCAGATGTAGCTCTATGGCGCATTTTCTCTGTTTTCAATTGTCTTTGCTGGTTTCGTTCATTTCGCACCTCTAGGGATTGAGATTCACGCCATTGCGACGTGCTCACACGCACATTTTCGTTATCTTTTTGTATTCGTTCCTCTGTTCTTGCTGCTATACCAATAGGCATGGTTTTTTGTGATATTCGTTGAATCGCTCAAACATAAACTTCAAATTGTCGTCTTTGCTCTTCTGGTGCTGGCCCACAGAATAGATCCAAATGAAATAGATCAAATTATTGGAGCTTCGAGGCAGTGCCAAAGCGGATACATTCCGATGGGTAAGAAGTGCCCTTAAGGACCATACAGTAATCTCATCGAGAGAACATCGATCTGTATGTTTTATTACTGAACCAAACTGATTAAACATAAGAGAAAAGTACGGCGTACGGTAGGTAAAGGGCTCGTTAAATCTTTATAAACCCAAGAAGGCCCATCTAATTCTTTACCATGATTGAAATTGTTCGGCAAAACTTTAGTTTATGTTTTAAAATAGCACCAAGATATTCATAGTCTGGCTAATTTATAAGAGCTACTTCAAAGGGCGTTAAGAGACAAAGGGGCGCCGAGGGAACGATACATTCAGGCAAATTTGTTCC